GTAATACAAATCCATTGCTTGAAAGAGACACATAAACTACAGCTTACTGAAATGATTATGGTGCAATCAGGGGTGTAGATATATATATATATATATATATTTTAAATACTTAAGTGGTAACCCAGTTACTTGTCCACCAGGACAATCAATTTTTCCTGACACAAAATATTAATTACAAAGATTGGGGGCCCTTGCCTAAAGCCACGGACATTAACAGGGCTATTTGCTAAAATAATTTTGATAAACTAAATCTGACTGGAAAAATGGAAGCAAAAATAGCTGACCTGGACATATGTGGTAACTTTTCAATAGTTAGCACAAGGGTATTTTTGCTTAAATTTTGTAATTTTGGATTTATTTTGTAAAGTTTCCAAAAAGAAATTTTTTGTGTAGTGTAGTTTCTCTTTTGTCATATTGTGTGTTGGCAACATATAATGTGTGTGTGCTGGCTGTATGCAACGTGTTTGTGGTGTGCACGCGCTGGCTATATGTAACATGTTTGTTGTGTGTGCTGTCTGTATGTAATGAGTGTGTGCTGGCTGTATATATGTATGTATGTGCACTGCCCGCATGTAATGTGTGTGTGTGTGTGTGTGCGCTGTCTGCATGTAATGTGTTTGTGTGTGTGTGTGTGCGTAGCTTGCCCTTCGGTAAATCACCGCTTAGGTCTCAAAATAGTTTTTGCTCGATTGTGCCATGAATATTCTTCCCAATGCAGTTCAATAAGAAATCTTTACAAGGCAAGTGCATTAGGGGTCCGGAGTGTCCCTTTAACACACTGCCTCCTATAGATATTAAGATTACACAATTAAGTAATTTCCAAGAGTGAACCAACTGGGGAAATGTAAAAAAAAAAATAAAGAAAAATGTATGAATAAAAGTTTTATTGGTCGTAAAGTAAAGCATCAGATGCAACCGGGGCCGCCATCAGAAATTTTGGGTCCCCTAACATTGTAAACGGTCTGGGCCCCTGGGGGCCCCTCTCCAAGCCAGCCCATAAATCTCACCCACAAGAATATACACAGACACAAACACACGCACTGATTAAAAAAAAAAAAAAAGGACAGATACACACACACACACACACACTGACACACATACATACAGGTATACAAACTGACACATATACTGAAACAGACATACATAGTGACACACAGACACATACTAACATACATACAGACACGAACATACTGACATACACACACACACACACAGACATATACATACACATACTGACATACATACATACTGAAATACATATATACATACATACAGATACATACTGACATACACATATAGCTAATTTTTCTTACCTTTTCTTTGCAGGAGGGTGGCTGGGGCTGATGGGAGTTGGCTGGATCTCCCGTCCTCGCGACCTGTCTCTTCTCCCTACCGCGCGGAGGGAGCTGGGAGGAAGTAACCGGCTGTCAATTCCTCACAGCACTACTTGCGGCTGCAATTTTTTAAAGGGGTCCGGTCGCGCTATTACGCGGCCGCATTGCTGACCAGGCTCCTGATGATATAGGGCCCATCGGGTGGCCCTAAATGCTTGGGCAACCCGGTGGGCCCTATCAGTGTGCAGGCCCCGGTGCAGCTGCATGGTTGTCTCCCCCCAATGGTGGCCATGAATGCAACATTCATGGACACGTAGGTCCAAATCAGCAACCATACGTGTTGCGCACAGGACCATCATAATAAACTTGTCAGGATGTACAAGTCATTGCGATCTATTAAAGTATTTCTAGTATAATGTAACACTTTTTAAAAGGGACACTGTAGTCACCTGAACAACTTTAGCTTAATGAAGCAGTTTTGGTGTATAGAACATGCCCCTGCAGCCTCACTGCTCAATCCTCTGCCATTTAGGAGTTAAATTCCTTTGTTTATGAACCCTAGTCACACCTCCCTGCATGTGACTTGCACCGCCTTCCATAAACACTTCCTGTAAAGAGAGCCCTATTTATTGCAAGTTCTGTTTAATTAAGATTTTCTTATCCCCGCTATGTTAATAGCTTGCTAGACCCTGCAAGAGCCTCCTGTATGTGATTAAAGTTCAATATAGAGATTGAGATACAATTATTTAAGGTAAATTACATCTGTTTGTAAGTGAAACCATTTTTTTTTTCATGCAGGCTTTGTCAATCATAGCCAGGGGAGGTGTGGCTAGGGCTGCATAAACAGAAACAAAGTGATTTAACTCCTAAATGACACTGAATTGAGCAGTGAAATTGCAGGGGAATGATCTATACCAGGGGTAGGCAACCTTTTAGCAGCACTGTGCCGATATAGCATTGTGATGTCCCGTAGCGTGCCGATCCTATTTTTTTAAATTGAGGTGTGTATGCTGCCGTATTCTGCTTGTGTTATTTTTACTGTAATTGCTTGTATCGTTTTATTTGTGCGTATATGAGCTATTATATTGTTTATGTTCATTAGTAGTTTGTGGTATCGTGTATGATACATTTGAATGGGGGCTGTTTGGGGTATTGCATGTGAGAGGCTGCAAGTGGGGTTGTGTGCATGTATGTATATTGTTAGTGGTGTTGCGTTTGTGGGGATTGTGTGTTGTGTGTGTGTGTGTGTGTGTAGGCTGTTCATATTATTTGTATGAGGGGAGGGTTATTCTACATTTCTGTGTATATCTAGCAGTGTGGGTGGGTTCCAGTGGGGGCCAGGCTGGCCAGGCACAGGTCAAGGACAGGAGCTGCGATAGCTGGGAGGAAGTGATCTGAGATCACTTCCTCTGTGTGCTGCAATGCATAAATTGAGGTTTGTCCTTCACCACCTCTTCGTATTAGCAGATATCTGAAGTTTTACTGGGACTCCTGATAGGCCAGAGTGCGTTTGGCTCTAGCAGCCTTAAGTGCCGTACAAAGACACCTCGAGTGCCGTTCATGGCACTAGTGCCGTAGGTTGCCTACCCCTGATCTATACACTAAAACTGCTTTATTTAGCTAAAGTAATTTAGGTGACTATAGTGTTCCTTTATTACACCAATTCCATCTACTCATGCTTCAAGAGCGATGTAGCACTGGGAGGAGATTAGCTTAGATACTACGATAGCACCTCCTTCCCTCCATCTTCCTGCCAGTCCGTCTGGGCCAGAGAAGAGCATTTCTCTATAACCCCCATGGACCAGCCTTGAAGAGGTCCAAGAATCGGACTGCGGTCATCTTAAATACCATCTCAAACAAGGTGTCTCAACGTAGGGGACTATAGGTCAGAGGCAAGGGAGGTCAACCTCCCTAGAACTCTGTTAAAACGTTCCTGTCGCTCACCGCTGGCAATCTGAAATCCCACCACGCGGTGACCCCCTTTTCCTCCCTCCTTTGCGCACTTCTCTCCTCTGGACTCATATGTCAGCAACCTGTAGAAGTCAGTATTGTAGGCAGTCGTCAGCCAATGTGCCCAAATATCTATGTTTAATTGGGAGCGGTCCTGTGCTATGTAAATCAATTCTTCCAGTTGTCTTGTCTTCCATTCTATCAAACAGATAGTAAGGGGTGGCTGTATGTCCTGTTTCTAATATAAGGGGACGACTTTTCCGTAATAAGATCTGAATTGTCAGAGTTTTTTTTATATTTAGCGGTCAGTGAAGAGGTATGGTGTAAGAGAAATGGGGCAGAAAATCACAATTGTTACAGATATACCAATACATGTGTATTTTTTATTTATTTTTCAAAACAGCCTCCAGCAATGTGTCACACTTTTGGGAAATTCCAAAAGAAAAAGTATGAAGACACAAAAACATAAGTATAAAAGAGGAAAGTAATTCTGCTGACCTGTCATTTTTCTAAATTATGAGTATAGTAGACCTAAACATTCTGTGAGAATGTAAATATATTATTTTTGTAACCGTTTGTACTAGTTCAATGAAACCAATGGGTTTAACAGAATCCAGTTAGGTGTGTTCAACACAAATACACACAAAAAAGTCCTGCGCTCAAACTCCCACTACTCCTGGGCGGCAGTAATGACCATAGTGCATATCAGCCCCGATACATACAGTAAAAAGTAAACCAAAGAAAAAAGTTACTATAATTATAGTATTATATAAATGTGCACAGGGATTTGGAATAGTGCGCAAGTAACGTTTTTTTCCTAGATGAGTCAAAAACGAACTGAAAAAAATTACACCTAAAAAAGTAAAACCGTTATAGATTCCATAAGATCTGAACTCACATCTTATGTAATTTAGGCCATTTATCCTGTTTAACCTGCCATCAAAGACAATGCACTGAGAAGGCATGTATGGTAGATCTCATGCTGATCAGATTAATTTACTAACCACCACCTAAAGTTGTGGATCACTGGAAGGATGAGCAGAAGCAAAGTTTGAAATTCTACTTTCTTGTTTAGAAATAATGGAAAGTGATGGAAACTGATATGTGTTTCATTCTTTTTTTTTTTTTTTTTCAAGTACAGAAAAAGGCTTTCTACCCCTTTAAACAGATGTTTCCAGTGGTTTATTCTTCACTGTTTATAACCTTTGGCATGTTTGAAAGGATTGGCAATCAGACCAGACTTGGATTCCAAAACTGCAGCCAAATTGCTTTTGCCTTTGTAAAGTAATAAACAAATGAAAATTAGCTCCAGAGGGTATAAGAACATTTTAAATATAGAGAAAAGGAATTCTCATCTGTAGCCATCCTGAAGCAGTAGGTCAGTATAAAAACACTCAATCTCTTTATGTCCCTTGTTTGACTTCTCTACCTGTCTGCTAACTCTGCCAGCCTGTCTAATATTTTCTACTCCCTATCTGATATCTCCTTGCAGGGCTCTGATCTATTCTTGTCTTTCTGGTATCTCAGTGTGTAGCTCCCTGATTCTTTGCACCCAACGACCTCTCATGGCTCTCTGAAAAACATTCTGACATCACCTGTCTCTCTGATATCTCTGAAATATCTCATCCAGCATGTAGCCAGTTTATTTGTTTTTTTGAAGAGGGGGAGAGGGGGATACCGGGCATGCTAATTTGCATAATTAATTATGTATGCGTGACATAACAGGATGCAATGTAACCTGGTATTATTGAACTAACATAAGGGGAAAAAATTGGAAAGGGAAAATTCCCTAAATCACAAATAAGCTACTACGAATGTGTGCACTGTGTTTGACTGTGCATGTAGCCATGTGTATGTGTAACAGTGTATACTGTTTGAATGAGTGTGTATATAGCAGTATGTGCATACTGTGTAGTGTGCCATCTATAACAGAGGTGGATATTCTAGCTCCATATTTCTCAACATTCTCCCAGAATCCAGTCAGAGAAAAATAATGGCTTTTGCATTACTGGTATTTTTTACAATACTAAAATATTGGTTGTGCCAGTAAGACCCTACCTATCTCCCCTAGCCTGACATATCCCCTAACTTAATATATCCTCCTTCCTCTATGATATCTCTAATATCATGTCTAATATCTCCCCCTTTCCTCTCTGATATCTTCCCCTATCCTAATATATTCTCCACCATCTCTAATAACTCCCTCTATCTCCCTATAGCCTGTCTAATATCTCTCCCATCCTGTCTGATTTCTCCCCCTGTATTCTTTAAAATCTCCCCCAACCTGTTTTGATATATCCGCCTGTAATCTCTGATATGTCCCCAGCCTGTCTGAAATAGCCACATCCTATCTGATATCTCCCCCTATATTCTCTGATATCTCCCCTTATCCTATCTGATATCTATCTCCCCCATCCTCACTGATATCTCCTACTATCCTGTCTAATATCTCCCCCTATCCTATCTGATATAGTCCTTGTCTTGTCTGAAATCTCCCCCATCCACTCTGATATCTCCCCCTATCCTATCTGATATAGTCATCTTTCTGTCTGATATCTCCCCCTATCCTGTCTGCTATCTCCCCCATCCTCTCTGATACACTGGCGGATCCAGGGGGGGGGCAACGGGGCAATTGCCCCCCCCGAGAAATCCGCCGGTCTCCCTCCCCTGCCAGCAGCACATGCAGGTGCTATCCCTGCAATGTGCCTGCGGACCGGGGGGGAGATCAGAGATCTCCCCCCCGGTCCGCAGGCACTGTGCTGGCAGCCGGCAGGGGAGGGAGAGGGAGGACCCGGAGCTCGGTCTGCAGCTCCTCCGGGTCCTCCTCTCGCGAGATTTGAAGCGTTGCCGCGGTTACCACAGCAACGCTCCAAATCTCGCGAGAGTGAACTCTAGCCCGGGAGCGCGGGCTAGAGTTCACTCTGACCACCAATGAATCCCCACTGGGACCACCAGGGATCGAAATATGTCCCCCCTCCTCCCCAGTAAAGGTAAGAAGGGAGGGGGGACATAGGATAATATTTATTTTAATTAATTTATTTTATTATACTATAAAAAAAAAAAAAGCCACCCTACCCTGATCTCACACACACACACATAGCCCCCATACTGCCCCCCCCCATACACACAT